CGTACTCGTCCTCGGAGTCGCTGCTCAATTGGCCGTCTCTGCGCTCTTCCGTAGCCAGTCTAGCTCGCTGTTGTCTCCTAAGTTGGCGGCTGGTGCGTTCAATCTCTGGATCCAACGGAAGTAAACCTCCCGACGGGCTACGGGTCATGCACTATCTGCACACAATCAAGCAATGCAAACCCGTGAAGGCACAAGTGGGAAAGAAGAAACACTCAATGCGAAAATGAAAATGCTAAAGTAACATAAATCACTTTTCTTCAACAACCTAGCCGTCCCCGGCAACGGCGCCAAAAACTTGACTCACTCCTACTGTCACTCTAGAAAATGGCCAAGTGTAACCACTTCCTAAAGCGTAGTATAGCGGGTTTGGGTTTTATTGTCAACCCGGGTCCTAGATGTGATGACTACTCGGTGAAATCTCGTTATCTAGCAATGAACTTTTAGTGCAACTTCAAACAAACAAAAACACAAAGCAAGTTTAACGGTTGTTCAAGTCAAGAGAGGTCACCCGGATATGGTTCCCCCTAGACTGCAGTTAAATCGGATTGCAATTTACCAAGTTTAGTTTTTATGAAAGTTATACTGCGGAAGGTTCTTAAATAGCCTGAAGTCTCGACTAAAGGTCTCCAGACCCTCTCAATCTGAGTCTCTAGCGGGCGACTAACCTCCACCGGAGTAAACAGATTGAGGCCCTAACGAACCAAGCCTCCACTACCGAATGGAATTCGGTACAGAATAGCGAATTGGCTCCTCGACTAAAGTCACCAATTCGCCACCTTCGATTAAGGATACTCTATCAACCTAGGCAGATATTCTCATTCTAGGTCAAAGCAGAAACAACAGGAATTTGATCAGGATTCAAGTCATTCAATCATTCAAACCTCAATCGAATATAATCAATTCACAAATTCTGTACTTGGGTTCATACAATCAGACCTAGCATACAAATCTAGGGTTCCCCATACCCAGATGAATGGGGGAACTACTCCATAGAGAAAGAAGCAAAAGCAGATTCAGACGCGGAAATCATACTGTGAAGACGGATTTCTGCTCCTGGACGTTTAATCGGCACTTCTCCAAGCTCAAGCCGGGCTCCAATGGTGATGAAGATCAAGCTATGGCACTTGGGAACTCTGGTTCGTCGCTTTCTCTCTCAAAAACTCGAAACCCTTCAATGTTGGCCTTCTTCTTCCTTTTATCAGCTGCCAGATCGCGATACCCGGTCGAAATACCCGGTCGGGTATTTTGGGTTTCGACCGGGTATAAATGACGCGCACCATTTCGTTCAGGGAAAAATCCCCGGTCACTTCCCAAAATCCCCGACCGGGGATTTAAGCCATTTTGCCCGGGCCCCTCTCTGTTTCTCGGGCGCCCAAAACAGTGAATACCCGGTCGGGTATTTGGCCACCTGACCGGGTATTTTCCTCCTTCGGCTCACTTTGTCCCAACTTCGCTCCTTTCGACCCAGAACTCGTTTCTCCGCCTCGATTTCAACGCCGGGACCTGAAATATGACATAAACACACACCCTAGCGTGAAATCGGCTTAAAACACTAGAATCCACATCTCAAACTGCTTCAGAATGGGGTGAAAACGTGTGTAATTATTGGTCTATCAATAACATACATATTTCCTACTCTGTTTCCTATGAAAAGCATTTCATTATCTTTTGAACTTTCAACAAGGCAATGAGAAGTTTCAAAAGTTACTTTATTACCACTACTACAAAGCTGGCTAATTGATAAAAGATTATGCTTAAGGCCATCAACAAGCATAACATCTTTGACAGTAGGCATAGGGGACAAACCAATGGTGCCTTGTCCCACAATTCTGCCAACACTGTTATCCCCAAACACTACTTCTCCTCCTAATTTATAGTCTAGAGTAGAGAACAGAGCTTCGTTACCAGTCATATGATGCAAGCAGCCGCTGTCCAGGTACCATTTACTCTCTGTTTCATTGAGTTTAGTAGTTTTACCAGCTTTTTCGAGATGATTGCTGTCTGAGTGAAGTTTCTGTACCATGAAGGCTTGATCAGCATGTCCTTCTTCTTCCTCATCAGACTCGTAGTCACTCCAGGTGGCTGCCATAGCCTTTTCTTTGGCTTTAAGGGTCAGTGGACAATTGGCTCTGACATGTCCTATCCTTCCACATTTATAGCACCCCTGTGGTTCTCGATCAGAAGTTTCATTCGAGGTTTCTTTTCCCTGTGAAGCAAATCTTTCAAAAGAAGCATTTCTAAAACGATTATTGCCCCTTTCTAAATCACCAGAGCGATTATCTTAGTCGTTTTGACGATAATTTGTCTCAGGAAATCTACTGTTCGAATCAGAATATCGACTGGATGATCCTGAGAACCTATTAGCTGAGTTTTGAAAACAATTTTGTGACTCAAAACGACCTCTGTTCTCAACTGAGCGTTGCTTTTGATAATTTTTGTATTTCATCATTCGATGAAATTTTTTGCTGACCATAGCAAGCTCCTTTTCGAAGTCAGTGTCGATGTCATTATCAGAATCATACTCATAGACTCTACTTTTAAAAGCTAGACTCTTCCTGCGTCGTTCATCTTCCTTTACCACCTGTTTAATCACATGTTCGTGACTCAGGAGAGATCCGATGAGTTCATCCACAGTTAAAGTATTTAAATTTCGGGCTTCCTCAATGGCTGTCCTTTTGGGCAACCATTCTTTTGGTAAAGATCGAAGGAGTTTTCTCACCATATCTTTAGATGGAATTACTCAACCTAGACCTTTCAATTTGTTTGTCAAACCAGTAAATCGGGAATACATATCATGAATTCCTTCATTAGCTTGCATATCAAAGGTCTCGTATTCATGCATTAACAAGTCAATACGAGTTTCTTTGATGTTTGACGTACCTTCATAAGTTGCCTCGAGAATAGCCCAGATTTCTTTAGCAGTCTCGCACTGCTCCACCTTGTCGATCTCATCAGGTGAGATGGCAGTTTGCAGAATATGCATGGCACGGCAGTTAAGTTGTGCGCTCTTCTTCTGCTCATCTGACCATTCACTTTGTCTCTCAGGATCCATTTCAATCGGTCCATCCCTGACAATTAGCCAGAGATCGACATCTATCCCCCACATGAACGTCTTCATTCGTTTCTTCCAGGCATTATAATTTGAGCCTGTGAACCATGGTGGATTGTGATGCGATGCAGGACCGAAAGCAGCGGGAGAATTGGTTCCCATCGATCGTCACCTCTGGCAGTAGCGAGCTTCTTCAAACCAGACTCTGATACCACTTGTATGTCGATCTAGGGTTAGGGATTGGAAATGGAATGAAGAAGGGAAAGTTGGGACTCGATAGACAGAAGAGAAAGGGAATAGATATTGCAGTCTCCCTTCTGACTTCTTCTATTAAACGATGGGCTTATGTGAAACAGGCCCGAGAAGGATTTTGAACAAATAAGCACGAATGGGCTCTTGAGTATAAGCCCACTAGAAGTGCTGGTAATGACCGACTGAGTTCTGCTTAGTTCTTGAAGAACAGAGACAGAACAAGGCAAAGCAAAAACAGAGTGATGAGAGGAAGAATGCAGCAAAACACAGAGACCAGATTTTTAACGAGGTTCACCCAAACATGGCTACGTCCTCGTCCCAGCAGTCGTACCCACTACTGCTGAGAGACACTATATTATCTGTTTATATGAACACGAGACACATGCAGAAAAGAAAGACAAGAGTTACAAAATCTGAAACAAGAAATAGAAACCAGAGTAAACAAACTCTGAACCAAGATTGCCCTCTCTCACAGAACCTATACCCCTGTGGAAGAATCCCTTTTACTTTCAAGAGCAAGCCCTATACCGCTGAAGCTTCTTACTTTGTAAAAGTTGAAATGAGAGAAGATGAGAAACGGATTATATAGAGCTTCAAGCTAGCCGTTAGACCTTCTAGCTGATTGAGGAAAATCAGCACCTTCCTTTCCTTAGATAGAAACTTTCCTTGAAGACATTTGCCAGCTCTGATCTCGTCCAACAGTAGTGTCAGAACATCCTTATGTTACTTGAAGGTGTTGAATTCGATTCGTACAAATATATGTGGGTTATTTTTTTTTTCTCTCCCCAAAAGTTACCCCTGGGATAGGGGCCAACACTCCTGGCTCCGCCTATGGGCACTATGATTGAGTTGAATATTCAATTTTTTAACATTATTTGAATAACGATATACTGTTAGTATATTATTTAATTTTTGTATCTTAAGTATATTATTAGTTAAATCATAATTTTAATACGAAATATTATTAAGCTACTTGTCGGACTCAATCTCCCAGCCAAGCATACATAAGGTGCTAAAATATGTGACATTTGAAAATGAGACTGTCTTCATTATTATAAGAACCATTTACATATAGCCGTTACCATTTGTCCATTGCTTATCACAAGGTTTTCTAGATTATTTTACTTTGTGCTGATGTTGCTGTTTTTTTATTTTGTATAACCAACTGATTGTACTATTATATTTTAGTTACAATTAATGGAAAGGAACAACATTGGTTAAGAAATTAATAATATGTTAATTTAAATGAATCTTCCCCCCAACAACAAATTAAAACCAAATACACCAATTTTAAATTGCCAACACATAAAATTAAAAACAATATCTATTATTAATTTACATAAATATAAATTGTTTTAGAAGGTATAAGGAGATTGGGGGTTGTGTTTTCATTCCTATTTTTATTTTCTCTTAACATATCTCGGAAACAAAAAAATTGTGAGTCATAGGGATGTGTAACACATTAGGCGAATCCCACATTGATAAAGCACATGAGAGATCCTTGGTTCATAAGTAAGAAACGGCTTTAACTGATAAGACGTGTTTTGGAGTGAAATAGAATTCTTGTGAGAACTCCAAAGTTAAACGTGCTCTGTGCGGAGTACTACAAGGATGAGTGACCTAGGATATCCACTGATTAGTCTGACTTTATAAACCATTAACAGTCCCAATTTTGCCAAGTACACAAACTTATTATGACATGGTTGCTTCGCTTATTGATACATGAACACTATTTACAACCCACTTATACATGAAAATGAGAACGCCCTCACATAAACAAAATCTAGTAACAAACAAACCCAGATAAATTGACAAGTCAAATATAAACACAAATTCATAACAGCGTTTCACCTCTATGCAAATCAAATCAAATTTCAAACCGACTAATAACACATGACTAACTAAAACTTCTCAACCCCACCGACACCTTCTTCAACCTTCTTTGGCCCCTCCTCCACTCTCTTCCTCTCCTCCGACTCCTTGGCAATGTCGTACGTCGCGTGCATCCCGAAGAAGACGTAGTACACCAGCAGTATCAAAGTCCACACCCCAAACCTCCCAAACGACGCCTTATCGATCGACCCCAGCAAGAAAATGTTGATCATGATCGACGCCGACGGCAGCCACGGCACCAACGGCACCCCCCACAGCTTCGGCTCCCTCGCCTGCGGCACGAACGCCCACAGCCCAAACGTCGCGCCGAACCATATCGGCACGGTGATCACATACCCAACCCACCCGTCCCCACCCTGGGCCCAGATGATCGCGGTCGCGACGGCGGACCCCAAGATCGTGACTATGCAGCCAATCAGCTTCAGCTGATTGGCCCTGGTCGTGACCCCGGAGTCGTAGTATCGACGGACCAGAAGGGCCAGAGCGACCATCATGAAGATGAACAGCGTGGAGATGGAGAGGAGGTTCGATAATATGTCCAATTTGGTAAAAAATGCGATGAAGGCCGTGGCTGCCAGCATGACAACTGTCGCGTTGACCGGGGTGCCCGTTTTGGAGTTGACATGGGCCAGCCAGGGTGGCATCATGTGGGTACGGGCTATGTGGGTTAGGTAACGGGCCTGGCCCACGGCCGAGACCAGCAGGACCGTGGTCATCCCTTTTAGTGCTCCAGCTGCAACGATATACTTAGCCCAATTCCATCCCACGTCCTCGAACGCGACCGAAAAGGGCGCGTCCGGGTCGATCCGCTGGTACGGTACCATCATGGTGAGGACAACTGCCAAGAGACAGTACGCGACGGTGGTGACCGTCATGGATCCCACGAGCCCGATCGGGATGTCCCTGGCCGGGTTCTTCGTCTCCTCGGCCATCGTCGAGACCGCGTCGAACCCGACGTACGCGAAGAACAGGACGGCCGAGGAGACGAAGATGCCGCGGGCCCCGTTCGGGGCGTACGGGGTCAGGTTTTTCGTGTCGGCTTTGGTGAAGCCGGCGATGATGATGAAGAGGATGACCGCCACGTGGAAGATGGAGGCGATGTAGTTGAAGCGGGAGGATCCTTTGGTGCTGAGGACGGCGAGGATGCAGATCACGGCGGCCACGCCCACGGCGATCGGGTCGAGGTGGCCGTAGTCGTCCGGGAGGCTGTGAGCTATGATGCGGAAGTCGTCCGGCTTGTGGTTGCAGAGCGTGGCGAAGTAGGATGTCCATGCTCGGGCAACGGCGGCTCCGCCGATTACGTACTCGAGCAGGATGTTGCCGGCGGCGATGAAGGCGATGAAGTCGCCGAGCTCCACTCTCAGGTAAGCGAACGAGCCTCCTGAAAATCACGAAGGCAAAGTTATTAATTAACTAATAATTAACGTAACCGTCGCCGCCGGTTTACGTTGTATCATAATTATGACAAATGATTAATCAATTCATTATTGTTCTAATTACTAATTAGAACAGAATCCCTGTGAAAAATATCATTTAATCCATCGAGCTTATCATTGTAAAGCTGTGACAGAAAGTAATTAAAAACAAGATAATAATGATTAGCTCTAGCTCTCTTCTTTGTACAATCAGATAACGACAAAATACTAGCTAGGTGTTTTTTGTGTGAATGAATCTACGAGGTTTCGTCAAGTCAACTATGAACACTGAACAGCTGTACAGCTAATAATGTGAACGGGAGATAAATTTGAGGAGGCGCTCAAGTGGACAGACGATTTAAAAAGTCTTTGGTCAACGGTTGCTATTCTATAATTTAAATCACACTTCGAAGAAGCAAAGAAAAAAAATTAATGTGAATTGGACTTCATGATAGGAAATTGTGAAAATGATATTGCGTAATCACGTTATTTTAAACGGGCGGTGTGAACACAGTCGGATAGCTTTAGAAATAAGAGGGGCAGAAAATGGGGACGGGAGAACCATTGTAAGTACCTGCGACGGGGATCTCAACGGCGAACTCGGTGTAACAGAAAACGGAGAGCATGGCGGAAACCCCGGAAACGACGTAGGAGAGGACGACGGCGGGGCCGGCGTGGTCTCGGGCCTCGAGGCCCGTGAGGACGAAGATGCCGGCGCCAATGACGGCGCCGATGCCGAACCACATGAGGTCCCACCAGTTGAGGTTCTTCTTCATCTCGTGCTCGCTGCGGGCCCTGACCTCGTGGATCTCGGTGGAGTCGAGGGAGCGGGCCGTGACCCGGTCCATGAACCGCTTCGGAATCTCCCTCAGGGCCCGGCCGTAGTTGGCCCAGCTCTGGAACGACTCCTCGGGGAGGAAATCGGCCTTGCTGCACGAGCATCCCCTCTTCCTCGCCCCGTCACCGTCAACGGTTCCCATCCTGGGGAAAACAGACGGAGAACTAATTGAATCACGAGACTTTAACGAGAGAGGGAAATCCGGCGGTGGTTTTGAAATGCTGTTGGTTAGCGTACCTGATTGGAGGAGGAGAGACGTTTGTGAATGTGGAGGCGGCAGAGTAGTGGGAGAGAGAGAGAGAGGAAAAGGAGAATGGGGGAGGTTAAGTTAGATTGACGGGGATGGAATTTATAGGAAGGAAGGAGAAGTGCGAGAGTCGGCTGGAGAGAGAAGGGAACCATGGAAATGGAGGGAAGTATGGAAATTGGTTGGGGGCGGTTGACTTGGGGTGACAAGAAATGGAATTGTTACTTTTTTTACTCTGGTGAAGAGGTAAGAAAAAACATTTATGAATGTGAAAAGGTGAATTTTTATTTAGGGTAAATGGGTGGAAAATATTAGGGAAATTCTGTGCAATTTATGGTAGTTGAATTTAATTTATAATTGATACGAAACCATAGTCCAGCTAGCTAACTAATTGCCTAATTAGTAATTTGGCTTTTTATTTGATTCACAATCCGATACAACAAAAAGTATATCAAATTATCAACCATTGCGATGACAAGAGAGAGAAAAGAAAAAGGAAAAAAAGTAGGTAAAATCACACCTGACGACCAAAATCTCTAATAATATTTACCACTCAACATATACGTATGTTTCGCTATAAAAAAAAAAAAAAGACATATACGTATGTTTCACTGACCAATTGCTTTATCACTAAATCCTGCCGAATCATAATCACTAAAGCATATTTAGGAAAATGAGAATAATATATATTTTATATAGTTGAGTAAATTTCATCATAAACAATGAGTTGAATTAACCCTTAGAGGAGGGATGATGGGATGAATAGTTTATATCCATTATCTTACCAATAATAGTTTCTGTTTTACTCTTACTCATACGCATACACATACTCATACAAGAATCAATTAGAAAATTAAAACCATACACATATTTGATAGGATTTCGAAATTCACGGTTATTAATGGGTAATAATTTTTCGTTACAGCTTTCAACTAACATGTTGACGATTACACGTATACTAGCATTACAAAAAAAAATATTACAAACAATAAATTACAGGAACAAAGAACATTAGCAAAAAAACAATATAATTTCATGAAAGTATTATATATGTATGATAAATATACAAAAAATATTGAGAAAAATAGTAATTATTCTAAACAAAACTGTGTATAATTAGGCGAGTTCGGCTTAGATATTGACAAATCATGTCCACCCATGCAGGGGCATTTGGAGGTGTCCCGAGACACCACTAAATTTTGGAGAAGCGATTATTCAATCCCCGGTGATAATTTACGTATGAACAAAAAATTATAATTAATAGTCCGGGACACCTTGAAATTTGAAAAAACAATTATCCTACTCTCGTTTGTAGTTTGCGTATAGGAGTATAAGTGGTAGTTTGGATAATTCAAACCCGAGACACTACTATTATTAATAAATATAATTTTCATTAGGCTACAACTTTTTTGTTGTTCTATTCTAAACACTCTGTAATAGCAAAACCATATTCTCTATCTTTAATTTTTTTTATTTTGAAAAGACTATCTTTAATTATTTTCAAAATCTAACAAATAATCTAATTACAAGCTACCCTTAATTTGTATTGATTTTATGGTTGTACGAAAAGTGTTGAAAATGTCTTTTTGGCTTTGAGTTACATCAAGAACAAATTTAGAAGTCGAATATGCGTTTATTCGTGAATGATTGTCTAGTAGAATATAGCGAGACAGATTTGTTGAGCAGTGCAGACACCAAGTGTATTTTACAATTTTTTCAGAATATGAAAATATATCATGGACTTTTTTTAAACTCGTAAGAGTTGGATATTTTCTTATTTAAGAATTATTTAATTTTTATTAATTTTAAATTTTTATTTTTATTTTTTGAAAGAGGACACCCCTATGTAAAATTTCTGGGTCCGCCACTGCACTCATCCCCTGCAATATTCGGATTCAAATTTTACTCATACCACAACAAATCTCTTGAGCTTAAACTTTACCCTATCCAATTAACCAATTAAATCAAATTCATACGAGTATCCAATTATTTTACATTCTACCTTCGTTGCTTGCTGCTGGTTCTGTATCCAGTTTCCTTTCTCTTTATAGAACCACTAAACATGAAGCACAAGGTTTTTAACTTTTAAGTAAACAGTCGAGCCAGTCAACCGGCCGGCGGGAGGGAGGGTCCACGAACGTCGACCACTGCTCCGTCGTTTTCCTTCAATCTGTGAGTCTGATCTGAACAAAATCACTCACCACGCACGCAAATTAAACGAAGTGTGATCTACGGTAACTGTAAGAACGACCGGACGTATCCTCCACGTCAACAGAATCATACTGGATATCGTGGAATCTGCAACTGCCGTTACGTACAGAATGGGGTCTACATGCCAACAAATTTCCACTAGTGGTTCACTGGTGATACAACTAGTACGTTAAATAAATAAGTGAAAGAAGAGTTTTGACATAACTTGAACTCGACTCGACCTCGACTTATAACGAGCTTATAAGCTCTATTCGAGTTCGGCTCATCGTCAATCACCTCGAGAGATCGGCTTGAGCAAATATATTATATCATTTAGTTATAATTTATAATTGTTCATATCATGCTATTTAATACTAATTAGTATCTAAACAAACGGTAATACATAATTTTTCTTTTAAATTTTGAATGAGACATATTTAATTACATGCTCAAATTCTTAAACATCATATGTGTGGTGATCAGATACGTAATCTAACAAACATATGAATTATCAACAAGTTAATGATAACCTATTAATCGACTCGCTTCTAAGTTGCTAATTGAGGTGGCTCGTTAGCCATAATGTCGAGCCAGTTTATAACTCATAACGAGCTAGCTCACGTGTTAAGAACGGAACAACAACAAGAACGAGGTTACCGAATCTGGAGCTGAGTCGCGGACTAGGTCACTCTCTTTAAGACGTTCGCGGCACTGCCCTCGATGCGCACGGCAAACTATCAACCGGTAGTCTCCAGGATAAAACAACTCCTCTTTGTACTCGCGGTTTTGTGCGAAAACCGGAGCTCTCTGAACACTCTCTCTATTGTGTTTATGCTCGTTGTGGTGTATTTAGAGGGGCTAGGGAGGCGGCTATTTATAGGAGCCGAACCCCTAGGAATATACCCTCTAGCTTGGGGAATAACTTGGATTAATTAAGGAAGATAATTACTTCATTAATTAAAACCGTCGGTTAAGATAAATCCTGCGGGATTATCCTTCGAATATTCATTTTTAATCGATTATCCTTAGAATATTCCTCAGAATAACCGATTAATAATTAATTTTGTTCGGAATTTCTCCAAAAAATATATATAGTCTCAAGTGAACCAACCAACCGGTCGGCCGGACGAACGGCGCACGTGTGTGGTGGTCCGTTAGGTCTTCCCTCTCCCACAAAAGTGGGCCACCGCAAGGGGCATGCCTAGGGGTGGGAATCGGTCGGTAAACGGTAAACCGTTTACCGAATTTACCGGTTTCGGTATACCGAGGGTGGCCAAACTGTTTACCGTTTACCGATACCGATTTGTAACCGCAAGGGGCATGCCTAGGGGTAGAGAGAAGTTGTTTCTGAAATCCAGGTCACAGAGAGAAACTCTCGAAAATCTTGGTTTCTACCTTTCTCGCGAGCAAGGCCGACGACAGGGACGCCGATACCGCGGGAACCGATGGAAGAAGAACGAGACGGCCAAAGTTGTTCACCCGGCGGAGAAGAAGAAGCTACCGGGGAAATCGTACAACAGAACGGAAACAATACACTATTCGAAGAGGATACAGAGACGGCGGCGGAGTCGAGCGCCCGGACCACGAGACCGTCGACAACGCCAGGGCCAAGCTGGCCTACATCGACGCGAATCTTTCCTCCCCGAGATCCCAATTTTACGAAGCTGTATCTCGGAACAAGTCCAGGAAAGCAAAATGAACCAGCACAAACCAAAGGAGTTGGAAGAGGTGGGTGGCGTCGGAGCCAGGGTAGAAGTCGCCAAAAATGCAGCTGATGGTAGAGAGAAGTTGTTTCCGAAAGGGAAGACTGGGTACTGGAATGTAGCAGATGGATAGGGCACAACAGGAAGGGTTGGGTTCGGTATCGGTATTACCGATTTACCGTCGGTATTTACCGATACCGGTTTCGGTATACCGACCCACCCAATTCGCCGCTCGACCGCCGATACCGCCGGTAAACGGTTCGGTAAAACGGTAAACCGTTTACCGGTGTACCGAATCCCACCCCTAGGCATGCCCTTAGGAGAGAGGCTCCTATCTTTATACACATTTCACCAAGTAAAACTACCAATGTGGTAGTTTTTCCACTTGAGACTCTATAGCTTTCAAAGCTATTCATACATACATTTCCAACATCATGAATTAAACTAAAAAACCCACCGAGTCAAAATGACTCATGAACCTTGCAAGCCGAACAATGTTTAGTTCACACTCGATTCGTTAGCAACCTAGTCTAGTGTCGAACGAATTGTTACCCACCCAAACACCGAGTTGGTGTGCGAGCAAAGCAAGCTGGAGATCCTTGAGATGATCATCTCTGAAAAATGGAGTCAAAAGTTGTGATAATGAGTTTTAGTATAAAATTAAGGGTTAATATTTTTGTATGGCCTGAACTTTGACAAAAATAAACATTCTAAAACTCATTATCACAACTTTTATACTAAGCTACTTGGTCAAAGTTGTGATAACTTAAAGTTGTGATAACTTGGGCCAAATTGTTTATTTTGGTGTATAGATCGAAAAGATTGGCCAGGATGTTTATTTTGGTCAAAGTTTAGGCCATACGAAAATATTAACCCTAAAATTAAATATTGAATTGGGGATTTATATTAAGCTACTATAAGTATATTTTATGATAATAATGAGTTTATAGACTTACAGTGGTAAAATGTTTATGTGTTGATTGAGCGGTTCTAATTAAGTTTGATCCCATATAAACATATTTGACCGATCGATTCCCCCACACACACACACAATTAGGGGTGTCATGTAACACCTAATTGATCTTGCGGTGGTGGGTGGGTTACGAGTCATATGAATAACCCACACCTCATTTTCAAATACCCAAGACTTGTCTATTGTTTATACTATTGAATAA